TTACCTGTGCTTGGCCACAGTGTCCGTGGAATGGCGCAGCTCCCAGCCCTCCTCGATCCTGTAGGGAAGCACCCGAGGCTCCTGGGCTATCTTGGCCTTCTTCTCACCCCCGGCGCTCCCCTTGTCGCCGCCCTCGTCCCCGGCGGGCGGCGAGGGCTCCACGCTGTCGTCGTCCTCCGAGGACACCCGGATTTTGGGTCGGCAGCCCCCGTGGGGGAGCTGGGGGGGCGGCGGGTCCTCGTCCGTGGTGTCGCTGACGGAGGACGAGCTCTCCGACCTGCTGGTGCTGGGGCTGAGGGACGGGCTGGAGGCGCTGGGGGACATGCTGGGGCTGCTGGAGGGGAGCGGGGAGCAGGACGCCCTCGAAGACGCCTTTGCAGGGGAGCAGGAGGCCCTTGGGGACGAGGAGGAGTTGGGGATATTGAAGGAGTTGGTGCGGGCCTTGGGGTGCGGCGCGTGCGGGATGGCGCGGTGGGAGAAGGAGTTGGTCCTCGGCACGGGCAGGAGGGGGTGGTGGTGCGGGGGCTCCTGCACCCTGGGGGAGGGGGGGCTCGACCTGCGAGAACCCGTGGGGCTCGGGGACGGCTTGCGGCTGCCCCGGGGGGAATGGGAAGTGACGAACGATGAGAATGGCGACAGCGTTGCGGCGAGCGACGAGGCGATGGCAGACGTTATCTGGTGGCCGTCGCCCTTTTTCTCCTTGTCTTTGCCTTTACTCTTCTCCTTCTCTTTCTCCTTTTCCTTCTCCTTATCGCTGTCTTCATCTTTCTTCTCTTTGAAACTGTCGGTTTTGCGACGAAACGTGAAGTTCCTATCCTTACTAAAGCTAACTTGAGATCGCAGTGGTTTCATCTTGCTCGAAGGCGCCCCAGCGGGCTCGCGGGAGAGGTGTTCCTCGTGGCCGCACACCAGCTCATGGTGCCATGCCCTCGCCTCATGCCCCCAGGCGACGTCTCACACCTCGGGCACACGCGGCACTGGCAGCGCTCGGCTTTTCGGTGCCATTCCTACTTTTCGAGATAGTTCCGATCACTTCACTCCTATGGGTCTTTCTGCTCGATGAATTGAGCCACTTTTAGTTACCATTTTCTACTTATTCTGCGCATTGTAAGTATATAAGCTGCGGGTTCAAAAGATAAACAGATCCAGTCACCTTTAAAATTATTTTCGAAACCTTTATAATCAAGAATGTAAATAAATTTCGATACTTTCAAAATAAAAAAATCATATTAGAGACACTTTGCTAACTCCGTGTTGTTGCAATAAACATATGACATATGACTTTACGCTGGACAACACAAACGGGCGTCCCCCCCCCCCCCCATTCCTCCCTTCCTCTCTCTCTCTCTCTCTCTCTCTCTCTCTCTCATTCGCTCGCTCTGTCTGTCTGTCTGTCTGTTTGTCTCTGTCTGCCTGTTTCTCTCTCGCTCTGTCTCTGTCTATCTGTCTGTCCCCCCCCCCCCCCTCTCTCTCTCTCTCTCTCTCTCTCTCTCTCTCTCTCTCTCTCTCTCTCTCTCTCTTTTTCTCTCTCTCTCTCGCTCTCTTTCCCTCCCTCCCTCTCTCTCTCTCAAACAAGCTTATCCCCAAGAAGAAAGAAACGATAGCATGTTAAAGGAGACAAGAACAAGGCGACATTCCACCGGCTCATCAACATGCAGCCGCTTTCCCGATTCCGAACAACTCTTAACTTGTGCAGCTCGAGTTCGACAACAAGTGCCAGTCCTGTGAACAACATCAAAAGGCGTTACTTCAGCACAGTCGTCTTTCATCGGCACTGAGGCATCGCTCAAACCCCGGCACTGGCACCCACCCGTACCCCCCTAACATCCGGACGGCGAAAACCTATCACGAAACCCGACCCGAAACACGTAACCGAAGCAGCGAATCGCGAAACGAAACACCGGATGATACCGAGACCCGTTCCTGACGTCCCTAGGACTGCTATTCGCCTCCCCCCCCCTCCCCAGGCACCTATCCGAATATTACAAACCGCGGGCGAAGCATTACAGGAAAGTACTAGCGTCTGTGGCACTGTAGGGTGTGAGTGGGCACGCGGGGGCACTCTCTGGCACTCTCACAAGTCTCACCCACTTGTTCCCTTCGCCGCCGTCGCTGTTCGTGGCTCAACGTGGCACTCACTCTTAACCTGTTGTGGTGCCGTAACCTCCCCTCCCCCCCCTCGTGGTTAAGCCAGACAGGTGCGGTGATGGATCTCGGTGCAATAGTTGTCTTTTGCAAAGCACTTTTCTCTTTGATCAGATACATATTGTGAACAAGGAATAATCAATACAAAGGAAAACAATACGGTAAATCCTTGTAAAAACATAGAGCTAAATAAAAACGGTAATAAGGGCAGAAGAAAACTATACCGGAGTTTTTGATAAAAGGGACGTTATGATTATTAAAACCATCGTGACGGCAACAACAATGATAAAACAATAACAATGATAACAACATGATAACTAACGATAGTAATAATAAGAATGTTTATAATAAAAACAGTAACAATGATAATGATAATGATGATGATACTGATACTGATACTGATACTGACAATGATAATGATAATGGTGATGAAGATGATGGTAATAGTAATAATAATAATAATAATAATAATAATAATAGATCATAATCATCAACAACAACAACAATAATTATAATGTTATTATTAATATCATTATTATTATCATATTATTATCCTTATTATTATCAATATAATAATAATGATAATAATAATAGAGACAGAGAGAGAGAGAGAGAGAGTGAGAGAGAGAGAGAGAGAGAGAGAGAGAGAGAGAGAGAGAGAGAGAGAGAGAGAGAGAGACAGACAGAGAGAGACAGAGAGACAGACAGAGAGACAGAGAGAGAGAGAGAGAGAGAGAGAGAGAGAGAGAGAGAGAGAGAGAGAGAGAGAGAGAGAGAATGAGGGAGAAGGAGGGAGAGAGAGAGAGAGAGAGAGAGAGAGAGAGAGAGAGAGAGAGAGAGAGAGAGAGAGAGAGAGAGAGAGAGAGAGAGAGAGAGGGAAAGACAAAGAGAAAGAAAAAAAAAGAAAGACAAAGAGAAAAAAAAAACAGAAAGAAAGAATAAAAAAAAAATTAAGAAAGAGAGAGAAAAAAAAAAACAGAAAGAAAGAAAGAGAGAGAGAGAAAGCGAGGAAAAGTCTGACTCATAGTTTACCCAGGATACATGATGGTGAAACAGCTGGCACTGTCAATGGGAAGACTGGCACGTTATCTTCCGTTCCTGGATTCACGTGAGCAGTACATAACGGCTGGGAACGTTTCCTAGCCGGCGTTAATCAGTAATGATATCAGTTCATTATTTTTAAATCAATGTAAATGCTTCTTTTGGGTTTAGTAACTATATTCTGCTCAAGCTCCTACTTCAATATGGAATGTCAATTATTTTTTCCCTCAGTAAACTATACTCTTATCTAGTCCTAATATTTGGTCATTTCTAATCAATAATAATATCAACTAACAAATAATCTTCTAAAATTATCTATTATAGTTACAGTCCAATTACTTATTCCCTTTGGAACGGTATTATCCCCTTGTTTCTTTTAATTATATAAAAGACGAGTACGTGTGGTATGACTCTTAAGGCTTGTCTATCATCTCAAGACACGATATTAAATATATCAGTCCGAAATTAAATCAGTTCCTGTTATTAAACGCCGAGTACAAGCTATCCATTCATCACTTGCGAAATTCTTTTTTTTCTGCATGTATTTCTATCTGTCTGTCTGTTTGCCTTCCTGTTTGTTTGTCAGTCTGTATGTCTGTGTGTCTGCCTTCCTGTCTGTCTGACTGACTGACTGACTGACTGTCTTCCTTCCTTCCTGTCTACTTGTCTGCCAGTCTGTCTGCCTGCCTGTCTGCTTGTCTGCCTGCATGCCTGCCTGCCTGTCTGCCTGCCTGTCTGCTTGCTTGCCTGCCTACCTGTCTATGTCTATATCTGTCTATGAATGTCTCTCTCAGCACGTATGACGATAACAACAGTAATAATGACACAGCAATATTGGCGGTGACAGAATTATTAACAATAATAATAAGAAGAACAAGAATAAATAACAAGATCAATGACGACATTCACAGTATCAAAACGTTGAATGTCACTGGAAAAAAATGAATAAATAAAAACAAAAATTAAGGCTCTGTTACGACATCAACGCGAGGGAATTTCTCATATAATTATCAAATTTCGTGACTCAAAGGGAGGCTGAAGATTTCGATAATTGTGTTGCTTTTAATATATCGTCATAAGAAAACAAAATATCTCCATAAAAACATAAAAAAAAACAATCCCATAAGAATATAAAAAAATATATATCCCCATAAATCAAGAAAAGAAAAGAAAACGAAAACGTAGAAATATATATCACAATGAAAACATTAACAAACAAACAAACAAACAAACAAAAACACATCCCCCAGAAAACAAGAAAAAAATCACACACACCTACACAGCTCCCCCCCCCCCTTCCCCAGCCCCAAATTTTACCCTTTATTTCCTTGTATTAGTCATGCCCTAACCTGTCATCTTCTTTCGTTCTCTCTATTACATATACTGCCTTCTTATTCCCATTTCTTTCTTTTCTTTTATCCATTTTAGTCTTTTTCCTAATCCTATTCTTTTTTCTATTTGCTTGATCCCTAGAAAAAAAGGAAAGAATGGGCAATATTTTTTATTTCTTTTAAGTATACGAGTTCTATGAGACGTTTTACTGCTCTTCTCGTTTATCTAAATCTTTTAAATCCTTCGTCTATTAATTGTTTTAATCAATTTACAGACTTTAAAACGAAACAATGTCGTCTACACATCGGAGTTTACTTAAACGCTAATCCTCTTACTTGAATTCCTCGTCCCCTATAATCTACCTTCCTTTAATAGATCCCCTTAACAAGCTGTAAACCGGTTTGTCTTGCCTATCAACAATTTTTTTTCGTTCTCATTGGGATCTGATTCGTTTCTGAAGCCTGATGGTCGTTTTTTTTTTA